GACAGGGAGCCAGTGGAGAGAAGCTAAAACTGGAGAAATATGATCTCTCCTTCCAACTCTCATTAAAACTCTAGCAGCAGCATTTTGGATTAACTGAAGTCTTCTTAAAGAGGTTTTTTGGATGTCCAGATTATAAAGAATTACAGTAATCCAGTCTAGACGTGATAAATGCATGAATCAGTTTTTCTGCATCGTTTTTAGACAAAATATGTCACTGTTTAAAGGCAGGTCTGCCCTGGACCGGTGACCAGAGACAGGTGGAAGGACATCTGAAAAAAGAAGCTGTAGTGAGGCTGTGAAGTGTTGTCTTACAGGAGTACCTGAGCTTGTATCCTCTGGAGGACATGTCTCTGGCCCCTGACCCAGATGTCCCCAAGCTCCTTCCACCTGTGGCCTACAACCCCTGGACAGATGTGAGGAGAAGAGACGATGTCCAGAAGCTCAACGTTAGCTTTCCCTACGGACCGATTCCTGAAGCCTTCCAGGTGTGTCCTGCTGCTCAGGTAACTGCTGTTTTTACACCAAACGTCTGAACAGACCCTCTGTGGTGTTTGTGTCCCAGCTGAGGGTCCGTCAGCACTACTACGCTGCAGTGTCCTACATGGACGCTCAGGTCGGGAGGCTCCTCAGTGCTCTGGATGAGCTCAGGCTGACCAACAGCACCATGGTGGTCTTCACCTCTGATCACGGTTAGTAAACATCTGCCAGGGCTGATGGTAACTAGGACCTGACAGGCAGATCTAGATTTCTGAGGAAGAGGGTCATCAAGGAGCCACAATGTTCATAGAGGGGCCAAGTATTTGTTCAACATCCTTACAAATCCCTGGTTTTGATAAGCTGTAAACATTTAGTGCCAGAGTTGTAAAGTAACTAAGTACAAATACTTTGTTAATGTACTTAAGTAGAAATTTTGGTTATCTGTACTTTACTTGAGTAATTATTTTTCAGCGTACGTTTTACTTTTACTCATTACATTTTTAAACAGTTATCTGTACTTTCTACTCACTACATTTTTTAAAAAGGTAAGAAGTAGAAAGTTGTTACTCCTGTTTTATTCTTAGTTATTACTTAAAATCCTATCCTGATAAATAGTGTCTCCTGGATAGAGTGAATTTAATTGTGGTTGGATGAGAAGTATAAATATATACCATTCTGACACACTATTAGCTTGTACACAACCCATCACAGCTGCACGCTGTTATAAAATATGTTTTTTGGAGAAGTCACCTCCCAATAAATGTCATTTTGTAAAATCTAACTGCTCACTTTTACTCAGTACATTTTTACACAGTCATCTGTACTTTCTACTCATTACATTTTTACACAGTCATCTGTACTTTCTACTCATTACATTTTTTAAAAAGGTAAAAAGTAGAAAGCTGTTACTCCTATTTTGTTCAGAGTTGTTATTACTTTAAAAAATAAATTGTGTCTCCTGGATAGAGTGAATTTAATTGTGGTTGGATGAGAAGTATAAATATATACCATTCTGACACACTATTAGCTTGTACACAACCCATCACAGCTGCACGCCGTTAGAAAAATATATTTTTTGGAGAAGTCACCTCCCAATAAATGTCATTTAGGAAAATCTAACTGCTCACTTTTACTCAGTACTTTTACTTTTAATACTTAAGTAGATTTTATGTCAGAAATTTACTTTTGATGCTTAAATACAAAAAAATATAATTTACTTTAAGACTTTTACTCAAGTCATATAGCTGTGGGTGTTTCCACATTCAAAGCACTTTTAAGACAGTTGATGTTCAGCTTTAAAGAGTGACTGGATGGATCTGGGAACAGTATAATTTCAGTACTCACAGACCCAGCAATGAGTAGTTATCGATATCTATCCAGCCTGAGAACACACTGGTTGAAATGTTTGTGTATGAACTGATCTTTAAGTAGTTGAAAAAAATTTTGTTATTTTTTTTATTTTATAGATTTTATGGATATATTTATTTTTTATCCTTTTTTATATTTTTTATTGTCTTTATTGTTTTAAATGTACATATGGACGCGAAGTCTGCTAATAAAGTTTGAATTTTTAGAGAAGATTTTAACTTTTACCAAAGTATTTTTATGATAAGATACTTGTACTTTTACTCAAGTATCACTTTGAGGTACTTTATACAACACCGTTTAATGCAGTGGTGTCCAAAGTCAGTCCTCAAGGGCCGGAGTCCTGCAGGTTTTAGGAGCTGTCCTGGTTCAACACAGCTGAACCTAAGGAGTGCCTAATTAGTAGGCCTCTGCAGACCTTGATGGCACACTGAGGAGGCCTAGTAATTAAGCACTCCTTAGGTTCAGCTGTGTTGAACCAGGACAGCTCCTAAAATCTGCAGGACTCCGGCCCTTGAGGACCGACTTTGGACACAACTGATTCAACTAATCATACGTTGAAACACAAAGATGCACAGTAAACTCTCCTGATACATGCATATTTACAGAGAGACTAATATAAAATGTGACTTTATTGTAACACACTATAGTTTTTTTTAGCCCTGACTGTTTGTGTTTTAGTCTCAACTGGAACCCATCATCATCATCATCAGTAGCTATGTTTACATGGACATAAATTTTTGTAGTGAACAGAATAAAAATGCATCATGTAAACACCCCATTCATTTTATTCTGACCCGACTCAGCTCGATCCAAATGAATTTGTAATCTGAATGAGAGAGGTGGTTTATGCCGATTGATAATCCAAACAGCGTGCATGTAAACATCTGATCATCTTATTCTGATTGTGGAAAACTGACCTGACTGCGCATGTCAGTGCTTCTGTTCTGAATAAAAGCCTGGTGCATGTAAACACTCATCTTGATCAAATTGTGCCTATATAAACGATGTATATGGATTATTTACTCGGAATAGTTTCAATCTGATCAAAGATTTTTGTGCATGTAAACACAGCTAATAACACAATGGTGATGTACCTAAATGAAAAATGTAGAAAAACATATATGTCTTAAAGTAATTCAACTTTTAGTAGAAGAGAGATAGCAAAATGTCAACATGTTAACATGTGACAGTAGTCTGAGGTCACATTAAAATGGTTTTCTTTAAGGGGTCAGTATTATGTGTTTCTCAGTCATATATTTAAATACTATACCATAATAAAGTATCTATGTCACCTTTAGCTGTTATTAAAATGCTGTTTTTATGTTTAAATTGAAAATAAACTTATCTTCTCATCACTTCCATTTCTAAACACCTTGAAATTGGCCTCTGTCTCTTTAAGAACCACCTTCTGCTTCTGTCTCGCCCATTTCAGCACGCGGGGGAGGGGTTCGCACGTGCGCTATGATGCAGTTCACTTGGCATCTGAAAATACATTTCCTCAAAGGTATTTTTAATCTGAAAAGAGTTTCACTGAGTGAGAAGTAGTGTTAAGAGCAGCAGACAGTTTAAGTTTCACTTTCACTTTGCTCTGTTACTGCCGAGTAGAGATGGGACAAATGGCTCTTTGAAGGGATCCGGCTCTTGGGGATTGTTTCATAGAGCCGTTCAAAAGAGCCGTTCGATTTTGAACGTATTACATCATCACGTAGGGAAATACGTCATCATGTAGCCGTACGTAATGACGTCATCCCGTCACGTGGGTGGAACCATGTGTTTGTCAAGTGGAAACCCCCCTCCCCCTTTCACCGTGATCTTCTGTACTCCACAACGCCACCTGTTTTCCATGAAAAAGCAAAGCGGGAGCAATTTAAGTATTAAAAACTAAAGATTATATGAGGAATAAAAGAGATAAAACTACAAATGGCTCGTTCCTGCCCGCGATTCGACTCCTATCATTCGTTGTAAAGAGCCGTTCAAAAGATTTGGATCGTTCGCAAACGTCACATCTCTACTGCCGAGAGCCTGCAGGAGTCATGGGCGGGGTGTGCTCCATGATGAGGAAGTTCGGCTTAAAGACACGTCCCAGAGGCGTTTCTGGTACCAAAAGGTGTTTCTGGTCCCCACCTGTCGTTTTGCTCCTCAGCATGGCTTCATAAAAACACTGCAGGATTTCTCAAACATGCATGAATGAGTCAGAGCAAGGCTTTGGGCATGTTTTTTATGAGTATAACATTATAACATGATATAAAACTCAAAAAAGTTGATTTTACATGATATTACCCCTTTAACAGACTTTGGCCCTCAGGTCTGCAGGTCTGAGCAAGGGTGTGACTTTAGGACCACCACTGAGGCAGAGAGGGGGGGCCATTCTATGCCTTTATACACTGGTCCTTCTCAAAAAATTTTCATATTGTGATAAAGTTCATTATTTTCTGTAATGTACTGATAAACATTAAACTTTCATATATTTTAGATTCATTGCACACCAACTGAAGTAGTTTAAGCCTTTTATTGTTTTAATGTTTTTGGCAAAAAAGTAAAGAAAAACCAAAAATCCCTATCTCAAAAAAATTGCACATCATGAAAAGTTTCTCTAAACGACTTATTAACCTTATTAATCATCTGAATCAACAAATTAACTCTAAACACCTGCAAAAGATTCCTGAGGCTATTAAAAACTCCCAGCCTGGTTCATTACTCAAAATCACAATCATGGGTCAGACTGCTGACCTGACTGCTGTCCAGAAGGCCATCACTGACACCCTCAAGCAAGAGGGTAAGACACAGAAAGACATTTCTGAACCAATAGGCTGTTCCCAGAGTGCTGTATCAAGACACCTCAGTGGGAAGTCTGTGGGGAGGAAAAAGTGTGGCAGAAAACTCTGCACAATGAGAAGAGGTGACCAGGCCCTGAGGAAGATTGTGGAGAAGGACCGATTCCAGACGTTGGGGGACCTGCAGAAGCAGTGGACTGAGTCTGGAGTACAAACTTCCAGAGCCACCGTGCACAGGTGTGTGCAGGAAATGGGCTACAGGTGCCTCATTCCCCAGGTCAAGACACTTTTGAACCAGAAACAGCAACAGAAGCGCCTGACCTGGGCTACAGAGAAGCAGCACTGGACTGTTGCTCAGTGGTCCAAAGTACTTTTTTCAGATGAAAGCAAATTTTGCATCATTCAGAAATCAATGATCCAGAGTCTGGAGGAAGACTGGAGAGAAGGAAATGATAAAATGCCTGAAGTCCAGTGTCMAGTACCCACAGTCAGTGATGGTCTGGTGCCATGTCAGCTGCTGGTGTTGGTCCACTGTGTTTTATCAAGGCCAGGGTCAATGCAGCTATCAGGAGATGTTGGAGCACTTCATGCTTCCATCTGCTGAAAAGCTTTATGAAGATGAAGATTTCATTTTTCAGCATGACCTAGCACCTGCTCACAGTGCCAAAACCACTGGTAAATGGTTTACTGACCATGGTGTTACTGTGCTCAACTGGCCTGCCAACTCTCCTGACCTGAACCCCATAGAGCAGGGGTGCCCAACCAGTTACTCGCGGACGACTGGTCGCCCGCCATCTCGTTCCCAGGTGCCTGCGAAATGCAACTTGCTCTAACAGCTGCTGTCAGCTGTTAGAACAAGGTTGCGCTCCGGTCAGGAGCTCGCTGAGCTTCATTCTAACTCCGGCAGAAGCGGTGGAGGTGGGAGGAGGAGAGCGGACGGAGCGCGTTCAGGAATGTAAACTCCTCTCGCCTCCCACCTCCACCGCTTCTGCCGGAGTTAGAATGAAGCTCATAGGAGGGTAGTCTCGCGAGTTTTGAGTGCTGTGAGACAGCGCACCGAACATGATCCT